ACGGAGGGTCTTAGAAGCCAATAGTTTCCCCAAGGATTTTTTTTTGTTATAGGGAGCCGTTGAGGCCGGGCCGGGTGCCGAGGCCAGGGCCACAGAGGCTGCTCTGCCATGGCCTCCTGAACTGTCTACTCCACCAAGGCCTCCTGAACTGTCTGCTCCGCCATGGCTCCCCGAGCTGCCTGCTCTGCCATGGCCTCCTGAACTGTCTGCTCCGCCATGGATTCCTAGTCTGCCTGTTCTGCCATGGCTCCCTGAACTGCATGATCCGCCATGGCTCCCTGAACTGCCTGATCCGCCATGGGTCCTGGAACGGGTACCGCTCTGGAGGCCTGCCATCCCGTGTAAGCCTGTCCTGAGGGGCTCCCCCCCACTTCCCCATTGGATGTTCTGTGGCGCGTGGACGTGCCTTCGGGGAGGGGGGAGTAATGTCAGTCCTGTGTTCCTGTCTTGTGTTTTTCTCCCCATGTGCCTTCCATGACCCAGTTTCTCCCGTGTTTATGTTCATTGTTCCCAGGTGTTTCCTATGTTAATGATGTTTATTGATTCCAGGTGTGTCTTGTTTAATTCTTGTACATAAGCCCTGTGTTTCCTGAGTCCTGCATTCTGTCTTATGTCAACCTCTCCTGCTATGTCTATGTTCCTTTTGTTCATTAAAGATGGTAATTTTTTTTTCAGAATTTCATGAACAATGTTTAAAAGAACAGCATTTATTTGAAATAGAAATATTTTGTAACATTATAATTCTTTTTTTTTGTTTTGTTTATTTAATGTGTCCTTGCTGAATAAAAATATTATTCACAGTAAATAATTTTTGGTGGAGCTTGCTTAACACTGACTTTAATATGATAAAGATCAATATCAGCAGTTATTTGCATGCATATGAAAGCCTCTTTTCAGCCAAATGAATGTCATGTAGACTGGGATGTATTTATGCTTTTTAGACCGAGAAGAACTGGATATGTTGACTTAATGTAGGAGCGTTAGATGTGCTTTTAAAACATTGAATATATTTATTAATTTATTTATTTTCTCGTGGAAGCTGTCTGACAGTGACAATGGCAAGGGTCTGGAGCTGGTGAATGACTCATCGTCGCCATGGTGAAGAGCTTAATAAGTCTGCAAGTGGCATTAGTGTGACACACAACTCAAATCACATCTCATCCTCCGCTCTGTGTGTGTTTTACAGGTCTGTGCCACGACACTCCTGCTGTTCCATTCTTTTGCAGGGCAGTCGGTTCAGAATCACTAGATGTACTCATGTAGGGTTTTTCATGGCAAGTACCCACAAATATGATGTTCCCCTTGATAGGGACCTCCTTCCTTCAGAGGCAGCTAATTTTAAGTTGTTGTGAAATGGAAATGCACCCTATCTCTTCTAATCTTATTGTGAATTGTCTTATTGTAAATGCACCCAAGCATATATTTAACTTGTTTTAATTTTATTATTATTATTTACATTTTATTTTCTTTCCTTAAAAAAAAAAAAAATCATGATCTTCAGTGAAACGTCCTACTCCTGTGCGATAACATATCCTAGACTTATCCAATCATTTAGTCCACTTAAACCATATTTTTTTTTTTTTTTTCATAATTTGTTTCACTTGGATGCATATCAATAAAGAAGAAATGTTGCTACTTTTGTTACTTTGTAACTTCATTTATATTTTAAAAGTTCCATTAATTATTTAATTGCATTAAATGTAATACTTTAATGTTTAATGATTTTAAGTATTATCTAAAAAAAACTTTTAATTTATAAAGTACTTTTTTTATTAGAAAGTATTTACTATGCATATATTTAACTTGTTTTATTTTTATTATTATTATTTACATTTTATTTTCTTTCCTTAAAAAAAAAAAAATCATGATCTTCAGTGAAACGTCCTACTCCTGTGCGATAACATATCCTAGACTTATCCAATCATTTAGTCCACTTAAACCATATTTTTTTCTTTTTTTTCATAATTTGTTTCACTTGGATGCATATCAATAAAGAAGAAATGTTGCTACTTTTGTTACTTTGTAACTTCATTTATATTTTAAAAGTTCCATTAATTATTTAATTGCATTAAATGTAATACTTTAATGTTTAATGATTTTAAGTATTATCTAAAAAAAACTTTTAATTTATAAAGTACTTTTTTTATTAGAAAGTATTTACTATTAAATTTATAATAAATTGTATTTTTTGTACCTAGATGTATAAACCTAATGAGAAACAATGCCATAGCTATCAATAACTAAAATAATTGTGATTGATGTCATTAACCTCATAATTTGGTACATATTCATTTTTTTTATTTGATAATTACATGTATTTATTTATTTTATTTAGTTGTTTGTTTGTGTTTATTTAATTAATTATTAAATTACATTAAATGTAATACTTTAATGTTTAATGATTTTAAGTATTATCTAGAAAATGTTTACTTTAAAAAGTGTTTCTTAATTAGAAAGTATTTATTTTTAAAGTTATAATACATTGCATATTTTGTAACTAGATATATAAACCTAATGAGAAACAAAAACCATAGCTATCAATAACTAAAATAATTGTGATTGATGTCATTAACCTCATAATTTGGTACATATCGATTCATTTTATTTAATATATTAAAATGTATTATTTATTTATTTATTCGTTTATTTATTTATTTATTTATTTGTTTGTTTATTTTTTTAATATTTGAATATTTGAATATTTTCTTTTAATTTTTTTGTGATTTGAACACCCTATCTGTAAAAAGCCCTTCTGTGATTTGCAACCAAATAACAATAATAATAGTTGTAATTAAAATGAATGTATTTTTTATTTTTTATTTTTTTGGTTCTTGTCTGAACTTTCTGGCGATTTGACAACCCTTGTGCCACTGCTACTGTAATCTATATTAGATTTAGGTCTCCCCGGAGTCACTGGTATAGCACACCCCTCCCCTCTCAAAGCTGCTTCCTGTCATCTGCAGGCAGCTATCGTTTTCATTAGCACAACAGGCAGTGACATTAAGCATTTATTTGTTTGTTTATTTTTTTAATATTTGAATATTTGAATATTTTCTTTTAATTTTTTTGTGATTTGAACACCCTATCTGTAAAAAGCCCTTCTGTGATTTGCAACCAAATAACAATAATAATAGTTATAATTAAAATGAATGTATTTTTTTTTTTTTATTAAAATGAATGTATTTTTTATTTTTTATTTTTTTGGTTCTTGTCTGAACTTTCTGGCGATTTGACAACCCTTGTGCCACTGCTACTGTAATCTATATTAGATTTAGGTCTCCCCGGAGTCACTGGTATAGCACACCCCTCCCCTCTCAAAGCTGCTTCCTGTCATCTGCAGGCAGCTATCGTTTTCATTAGCACAACAGGCAGTGACATTAAGCAGTGTCCGGATCTTATTTGTGCCGTCTGCGAGGGGAAGTAGCCAGTCAATGAGAGCTGATTGAATCTGACTGGGATGGGATGGAAATTAATCCCACTTTCCTCTCTTTTGGGCCGAACAGGTTTTCAGCAAGACAAATGAGGCTTGGCCATGTGTGGGTCCCCAGAGCTTCCAGTTAGGAGGCTTGTAAAGGTGTGCTTTTAAGAGCTGCTCTGTGACTGGAGCAGCACAGCAGAGACTCTCCACAGAAGAGCTCTGTGTTTGACATTAAGGCTGGACATGTCACTGAAATATTTGAACTACTGAGTGTGAGTGCAGCTACTGAACCACAGGGCTTTTTTTTCTCCTTAGTAAAAAAGTAGTCAACTATAACATGTACATTTATTAATACATTTATAGACTTCATAACAGATCGATCATTTCTCCCCATTTTTCAACTGCTAAGTATCAAGAGAAAACAATAATTCACCAGATAATTTATTTCAGTAACATCCTTACATAATTGTTATACCTAAATACAGTTTTTTGGCTTTATGATATTCTTATAATAATAATAATGCATATTTTAAATTTTTATACCTAAATACAGTTTTTTTTTTTTTGCTTTATGATATTCTTATAATAATAATAATGCATATTTTTTTAAATATCACATTAATTTATTATTATTATTATTATTATTATTATTATTACAAGATGTACTTCTTAATATACAGTAGTAATAAATCTATGGATTTGTTTGCTTTGTTTGCTTTTTTTTTTTTTCCAAAATAATCTAAAACAAACTTTTATCTTACCCATTTGTATGAAGATCTTTGAGTTTTAGTGATTATTTGACAATTTACCAATTATTTATTTATTTATTTATTTATTTGCTTGCTTGCTTGCTTGTTTGTATTTGTATTGTAGCATTACTCAGACATGTACCATCATTCTCTTTTGGAAAATGATGCTTTAAAATAAAATAAAATAAAATAAAATAAAAAATGTTGAAAGTGTAACAAAGAAACACACCTGCTGTTGAATGAGCTGAATAAAATTAAGCCTGGGCTCATTTACTTAATTATTATTATTATTTTTAATTACTCCTCTTTAAATTATAGCAGGTTTAGAGGACTGTGGACAATTCAATTACTGCGTCTGATTCAGTAAATAACTCACCGACCATGGCTATTGGTTGTTCACACTGTGCAAACAGCCAATTACGGGACACAAGATATGGGTCTCTTTGCTCTAATATCACTGTGTACAGTCCCTTTGTACAGGTGATGTAAATCCAAAGTCCCCACAAATAAGATTGTTTGAACGGAACACTCATATCCGCTATAATACAGTTCCCTATCGATACTTCACTCGTACTGCGTCGCTAGATGCTTATGGAGAAAACTAATTTTTCTCCGAGGACTGAAGACTTATTCAATCACGCAGTGTAACTGCATGGCCATTGGTTCGTGCAGTGATTATAAAATGAACCAATGGCTCGGCAGTGGTGCTGCACGAGCCTATGGCGATGGAGCCCGCCAAAATGGGCGGGGCCATCTGGCTATATAAGCGGGCATTTCACCATTGGATCTCAAATCAATTCTCCTTCAGCGACGACGATCTTCCCTTCCCTGACCTTCAGGACTTGAAGACGCTCGCCGTAGAGCAAGCTCGCGCCGGCCCAGATCCCGTGCGCCTCGGCCCTGCCAAGCAGAGAGTATTCACCCGTTCTCTTCGAACACGCAGACCAGCGTCCCTCAGCTGATGCGAGCGACATGGTCTCGTTCGGTGCCGTCGAGAATGAGCTATTAGTTGACAGCATGTCTCTAATAGCATCAGACGCGGAGGAGATGTCGGGCTCTATTGCTGACCCTGCCCCTTCATCATCTGCCGAGCCCAGCGACTCTAAGCCAGGGATGGATGCCGAACTTTTCCCCATCCTCTCTAAGGCAGTTGAGGAGCTGGGATTGGAGTGGTCTATGCCGGAGGAGCCCACTCCTAGCCGTCTGGACGAATGGTTCCTGCCGGAGCGCCGCCAGGCCTACTCGACCCGCCTTTGCTCTAACTCTTCTTCTGCTCTCTCAGTGGACGGCGCTGAAGAAAAGAGTGACGAGAGGATGCCTCCTCTCGACGAGGCGGTGGCTGCGCACCTTTGCCTGCCCACTGCCATTGGATGGAAAGCGAAGGTCGCTCACCCCTCCAAACCCTGTAGGACGACTTCTGCCCTCGCTGGACGAGCGTATTCCTCCACTGGGCAGGCCGCCTCAGCTCTACACTCCATGGCTGTGCTCCAGGTCTTTCAGGCCAAACTCCTCCAGCCCATGGATGAGTCAGGACCTGATGCCACAGCTTTCAGGGAGCTGCTACCAAGGCCACAGCGCAGGGCATAGGGAGGTCAATGGCCAATCTAATGGTGCTGGAGCGCCACTTATGGCTAAACCTCACAGAGATTAAGGAGGCTGACAAGGTTCCCTTCCTCGACTCCCCGGTCTCCCCTACGGGGCTTCTTGGACCTGCCGTCGAAGGGTTTGCAGAGCGATTCACCGTGGCTCAGAAGTCGTCCCAGGCCATGCGACACTTCTTGCCGAAACGCTCCAGCTCTGCAATGGCCACCAGTCGCCCCAAGCCTGCAGCAGCCAGCTAAAGCTGCGCCATCGCCCGTTCAGCCTGCTCAAAAGCCTGAGCCCCGACAGCGCTCCCGGTCGGCCAGATGCTATCCCTTTCCAAAGCCCCAAGGACACTGGCCCAAGCTGAACTTGGACCCTGCGCCCCCGGCATCGTCCTGATCCGCTGGAAAGGAAGAGGAGGGGGCAAGGTCTCGCAAGCGCCGGACCACCCCAGAAACGCCCTCTGTCGTGCCCTCAAGCACTCCGTTCAGTTCTGGGTGCCAGTGGCAGTATGTTTGTTCCAGAAATTGTTGTGAATCACGGGACCATTCTAAAAGCGCCTTCACACATAACCGATATTCTTATAATAATAATAATGCATATTTTTTAAAATATCACATTAATTTATTATTATTATTATTATTATTATTATTACAAGATGTACTTCTTAATATAAGAAGGCCCGTTCAGCCTGCTCAAAAGCCTGAGAAGCCTGAGCGCTCCCGGTCGGCCAGATGCTATCCCCTTCCAAAGCCCCAAGGACACTGGTCCAAGCTGAACTTGGACCCTGCGCCCCCGGCATCGTCCTGATCCGCTGGAAAGGAAGAGGAGGGGGCAAGTTCTCGTCATAACCGCTGTGATAGCGAAAAAAAATAAAAAACAAACATTTTCAAAAAGAGAGCAAATTTTCTCTTCCAGTTATCATGAGTGTCGAGTCCCTACACGGCGACACACTCATGGCCTGGCGGGCCATCCCCGGAGTGTCTCATTGGGTTCTGGGGATTATAGAACAAGGTTATTCACTTCAATACGCTCGAAGACCCCCGCGGTTCAACGGCGTGGTCTCCATCTCAGTGCACAGCAGGAACGCTCACATTCTGCGAGCCGAGGTAAAGAATTTGCTGGCAAAGGGAGCCGTAGAAACAATTCCACCAGCTCAGAACGAGTCAGGCTTCTACAGCCGTTACTTCCTCGTCCCCAAAAAGAAGGGCGGCCTGCGGCCCATCCTCGATCTCAGGCGCCTGAACCGTGCCCTCATGAAACGGCCGTTCAGCATTACTACATTGAATCAGATCCTCTCGCAAATCCACCCAGGGTTTTAAGCCAGACCTACAGTGGTTCAAGTCAGGCGTGACTATGGGATTGGTTTACAGAAGGAAAGTTGTCTCGACAGACGCATCCAACACAGGTTGGGGAGCTCTGTGCGACGGCAGACCGACCTTCGGCTCCTGGACGAACGCAGAAGGCCAGCTACACATCAACTGCCTCGAACTGACTGCAGTATGTCGAGCTCTTCAGACCTTCTTGCCAGTCCTGAAGGGACACCATGTGCTAGTCCGATCAGACAGCATGACGGTGGTGCCATATATAAATCGTCAAGGCGGGCTCACCTCGAAATGCCTTTTCGAGATGGTAAAACACCTCTTGGAATGGGCACATCTCAACCTGCGTTCATTGAGGGTAGCTCATGTGCCCGGCGTACTGAACCAAGGAGCAGACATGCTATCTCAGAGCAACGTCTCCCCAGAGGAGTGGATGCTCCACCCACAGACGGTTCAGAAAATCTGGGAGATCTTTGGCAAGGCAGAGGTCGGCCTCTTCGCCTCAAAAGACAACTCTCACTGCCAAACTTATTTTTCGAAGAACAAGGACGCGTTGGTCCACGATTGGCCCAACCTCCTCCGGTATGCTTTTCCACCGATCACCCTGATCCTCCAGGTAATCAGGCGAGTCAGGGAGCACAGACACAGAGTGTTTCTGGTGGCCCCGCTCTGGAAGAACCATCTCTGGATCTCAGAGCTATCTCAGCTGCTGACAGCAGCTCCGTGGCCCATTCCTCTGAGGCAGGACCTCCTCTCTCAGGTGAACAGAACGATTTGGCACCCCCAGTCCGAGCTGTGGGCACTGCACCTATGGGCTCTCAACGGGAATCAATAGATCTCCCAGAGAGCGTCCTGAATACTATCTCACAGGCTAGAGCCCCGTGTATGAGACGCCTCTACGCCCTTAAGTGGTCGATTTTCTCCGCCTGGTGCGAAACCCGCGGCGAGGACCCAATAACATGTGACATATCGGTGATATTGTCCTACTTACAAGAGCTGCTGGACAAGGGCCGCTCCCCTTCCATGGTCAAAGTCTATGTGGCAGCTATAGCAGCTTCTCACACTCCTATAGCCGGACAGTCGTTGGGCCGGAACATCCTAATTGTCCGTTTCGTGAGGGGATCCAGGAGGCTCCATTCGCCCCGGCCCCTCACGGTCCCTACATGGGATCTGCCCATGGTCCTGAGAGCCCCTTTGAGCCACTTCAGTCTGCGAGCTTAAAAACACTGTCACTGAAAACTGCTCTGCTGCTGGCGCTAGCATCGGTTAAGCGAGTAGGTGACTTGCAGGCTCCCTCGATAAGCCCTGTCTGTCTTGAGTTTGGGCCTAACGACTCCAAAGTCGTACTAAAGCCAAGATATGGGTATGTCCCTAAAGTGCTCTACACGCCATTTAGAGCCCAGGTTATTACTCTCTCTGCGCTACCTCCTTCTGAGGAGGACCAGGAGTTTAACCTTCTCTGCCCAGTCAGGGCATTGAGAATTTACATCGAGCGTTCCGCCCCCTTCAGGAAGTCGGAACAACTCTTTGTATGCTTTGGCGGCTGCACCAAGGGGTCCCCGGTCACAAAGCAGAGGATCTCTCGATGGTTAGTTGACGCTATCGCACTAGCTTACTCCTCCCTGGGCCTTCAGAGTCCCATAGGAGTGAGAGCCATAGGAGTGCCTGATTCTTCAGGAACGCTCTTGGCCCTATTACTAATGCTGAGGCTGTACATACGACCGTTGGAACGATTATCTGAAGGCTGGGCTGACCTCAATGAGTTCAGCCCTCTTGCCTCCTCTTGAAACCGAGTAAGTTTTCCTCCATTGTGCCCCAACAGATTCCTGCAATGAGATTTATAATGTCCAGCTCCTCTAAATAAATCAAGTTTCCGGAAAATCCCACTGCATGTTGCTTGCTATCATGTACAGTAGTGCAGTGTGTTGCAGGGTTTGATGGGGTATGATGGAGAGAGCTGTAGGGACTGCTGCAGACACAGCCTCCGCACTGCAGCACAGACACACACACACACACACACACACACACAGAAATGAATAATAAAGGATAAGTGATTCATTGGGTGCTTGTTATTAAAGTTTCTGTTTGAAGTGAGTGGGAATAGCCCTTAGCTGGCACTGTGTGTGTATGTGTGTACTATATAGTCTCGCTTTGTAGACCTTGATGCCAGGCTGACATGTCTTATCTGCTCATATATAGGGCAGAGTACATTCATAGCACTCATGATTGCTCAATAGTTGAGTAATGATTTTGCTAAAACATCGAAATTAATATCTGAAAAACACAATCAAGAGCAGCTCACCCTGTTGGTAGATTTACAGAACGTTCCTGTGCCAAATCAACAACATTTGTTCTGCTTCTGCTGTCCTTTTTTTAATGTAAGTGTGTTGTGTATGCACCACTAGCATAACCAAGAATGAAGTAAAACAAAAAAGACTGCTTTCAGCCAGTTTATCAAGCAGTCACTCATTATTTGGACAAACAGATGTCCTCATAGTCACATTGGTTGCACTAGATCTACCTTTTTCCTATAGCAAACCTACTGTGTTTTAGATTATGGGAGACACTTCCGGTGTGGGGATGTTCCACTTCAAAAGACTGAAAAAATCTCTTAAAATCATAAAGTTGCGCTACAAATAATAGAACGAGCTGTACATTTGCCTTCATGTTCTATTTTCAGATGAATAATAATGTAATGCTTGGTATTTTACTGTGTTATGGTACAACAAGAATATCTATGGCAAGAGCTCTTTTCAGTCCACTACATTCTCTCCCCATGATCATTTTCTCTTTTCCTTTGTATTCTGCTGTACAATATGAAAAAGATGACATATACTGTGCATTTGTGCTCTGCTCTCCCTATTCTGTTTACAATATAAACCATGCATAATTCACTGGAATGCACTAAGAATATCTGTGTTTGTCTCCAAATACTTGTTCAAAAGTTGCTGTACAATCTGTTAAAATAGCTTTTTTTTTTTTTTGCAACACATATGTCTGATATTTCATTGTTATTTATTAATTTATGTATTTATTTGTTTATTTGTATAATATTTATTTAATATTTA